GTCAACCTACCACGGATTAGGGGTCCGGTTTTGATTGGCAGCATGGCATCACAGTGATCATCGTCATCGTCATCATCACGGTTACCATCAACAACATGGTCAGCATCACGATCACCAGCAGGCAGCAGGCAGCTCAAACATGCTCAAACAATCGTTTCGCAACCTGAGTCAGCTTTCAATATCCTGAGCAAAGGGTTCCAGAAAACTCATCTTGACATTACAAATAAACTCTCTGTTCGGCTGCGCTGTCACAAAGTCACTTAAGTCACGCAATGAACCATCACACAGCAATTCAGCATTCGCTCAGGAACAAATTGGCTGGAAGCATTGACTAGTTACAGTACAGAGTTGAAAATGCCAAGTGAACCCATTTCTATATCCATGAAAGTTCTACCCTCATACTCATGTCATAATATGCATCAAGGGCCTTTGGCAAAGCCTTGCAATCCCCCTGCCTTTCTGGTCATAGGTCAACTCAGAAATGCACACAAAAGACATTTGCAACTGAAGGGCCTCAATGACTGGAAGGGATGTTGTCGAAGTCACGGACGCCTGCGCAACGCTTGCGTCAAGTTTGCACAACAGTGTACGAGATTTGGTCCAGAGTCCAGACAAACATCTGTGACGTCTTCTATCATTAGCAAATTGACACGAGTTCTTTTTAAAATCCGACCAAGCAAGTTGGCATCTTCCAACAAAAGAGACCAACCTGACGAAAATGGATTGCATTTGTTTTCGCTGCCCAAATGCTGACCAACTGTACACAGGGTACACATGCGCGTGCTTTCCCATTTGATACAGCAATGTTTTATGCACTTGGTTTGTGTAACAATCCTGCAGACTTTGATTTGTAAACAAACCCTCAAACAAAACAAATTGTTATGGAACCAAAAACGTATATGCTGTACACTGTAGCGTAGGCTCATAGACCCAAATAAAACCATTTGAAGCACGCTGTTATGAAAAGTTGCTGCGTCCACACTTTCCCAAGCATTCTACTACCACGAAATCAGTTCATTGTGTTATGTGGTCCCCAACTGTCTGACCAAACATCTGAAACGGTCAGCAGACACCTGAAAAACGTTGCACAAATGATGTTGTTCCCTCAGACCTCAGAAAAACCTAGATGTTGCGCCATTCAAAAAAATATATCGCACTTCAGTTAAAGATAATTAAAGCTTGCTTTGTAAAACACTGAACAGCGTTCAAAACCCCAAGGAGCAGCAAAACCTGCTGATGCTTCTAAAATATTCTAAATGTTGAATTATTGGTCGAAAGTATCATTTAGCTTGGGCCACTTTAGACTCGGCTCTGTGTTTCCCTCATCAAGATAACATGGTTACCCCGACTGTAGCAGATCAATCGCAACAACAACCACACCTCGCAAGTAACTCCAACATCTTCAGCATGCCCACAGTTGTGGCTGCCCCAGCCTGCCACTGAAAAACATGGTCCACTCAATTTTGGCACAAAGACCGACGCGAATGCCACTCCTGCCTGAGAAAGAACATAGGCTCAAGGATGTCTCAGATCCTGTACAAGCCACGTCGTCCATCCATATCTGCCCGCTTCCTAGAGCATGGGAGGCTCACTGAATCAAACATCAAACAATTCATCTTGTAAACGATGGAAGCATGACTGAGCGAAGAAAACCCATTGAAGTCCTCCACCAAATTGCTGAAAAGCTCGGCCACCATTCCATCCAAGCTGTGCACACACAACAGCTGCATCCACATCGGAGAAGGACTTAGAATCATGACGATAACGAAAAAAATCAAATGGGACAAGAAGGCCACTGCAGCGAGCAGGCAAGAATGCAATTAAGCGTCATCATCGCACACTGTTCCCCGTTCACCATTGTGAAAGATTTCCACTCGTCCTTGATACTCGCATGAGCCATCCATCAGTCGCACAGAGCCCTCCTCGACCTGCCAGTTGAATAAAATTATGAGGTCAGGTGAAGCGGCTTCGGGTCGTTTCAGTGCCAAGAAAACACTCCGACGAACACCTCACATGGAAGTGGAGTGAGTGAAAACCCCGGTCGTTCGTGGGCAGGACCACGAACATCTTCCCGAGGCATCGGGAGGCATCGACCATTCCACGTCTACCTCCATGTGTTCGGGTGTTCGCCAGAGTGTCATCTAAGAACTTCTGAGTTCAGTTTCTTGTCACGAAGGACCTTCATGAAGGATCTCGTCGGGACCACGAACGCATCGAACGCACGTCTTTGACCGGAAATCGTCCTCTCCTCTTCGCCCAACGCACCGATCACAAGGCAAAACCTGGCATCGATGTCCCGTCGGGTTCCGGTGACAGGGCGGAATGGTGACAGGACTGGAGGAATGGAGGGATGTCGGCAGGTGCCAGGGTCAAAGCAAATTCACTTGATTCTTGATCTGCCCAGCTGTTTCTTCCCAGCAGTGTTCTTTTTGTATGGTTTTCTTCTGGGTGGCACAAATGACTCCCCAAAAGACCGGAGGACATCTCTGGTTTGGATCTTCTGCTCAGATCAACAATGATCGCCAAACATGAAAAGACACATTCATGTGCGCCAGGGTGCCATGTGCCCGTTTTGTTGAACCACCGCCCAAGGCACAGCAGCATCTTGTAACATCTTCGTCTTCTTCGCATGAAGATGAAGGAACCAGCGATCAAGTAGGGACCGCCTGCTCAGCTGCAAGGAACTGAGCTGTCAACTTTGTTTTGCTGATGGCAACATCTGGGTAGCAAAGCCTCCGAAAGCAGTCCCTATCAACAAGCGTACCAAGCGCACTTTGGTTTCTCGAACATGCAAACCTGCTTCAATCCGAAGCTGCCAAGAAAACCTGTGGTTGCGCCATGCTGCACACACACACAAATAACACCAGAGGACTCGATCCGCTCCTTTGGCGGGCACCAGTAGCTCGTGGCTCAGTCGGAAAATCCGCCCCAGGCCGAAGCTCGTGCTTGGAAAAATGCCCCAGGCCGATGCCCGGGCACCTGGGAGGATGGTTCTTGCGATGCCGCCAGACTCTGACAATGAAAAACACAAAACTGACTTGTGCGACTTGTAAGGAATGAATAGGAATGAGGGTGGTTGATGGTGGTTGGATCCAAAGGAATCTCTATTGAGGGCTCATGAGGCCTCATTCTCTACGAGTCGCACAACCATCAGGAAACGATAGAACACGGCTCAAACTCAGCCACGCACGTGGCCATGCACGTGTTCGGTTGGCATCTTTTCATCTACTTCGTAGAGTCTGAGCCAAACTAGCACGAATGGATCAGCAGCCCATGCCTAAACAACTAACTAATCACAATCACTCACATCCTGCAAGAGTTTGCAGACGTATGCAAATGATTGCAAATGCACTAGCGTGTACATTACCCAAATGATTCCAACCATGAAACGCACCGCTTTTCCATCGCCCGTCTGAAAAGATCGCCCTTCAGACTCGTCTTCTCCTGGCATCGACCTTGCCGTCCTCTTGGAGATCGACCTGGTTGATCTGGTCGTTAAGACCTGTTAAAACCTCCGGTCCGCCGACCTCGCGCTTGAGGGCGTGACCTGGTTGAGGTGGTCGACCGTATTCAAAGCGTATGGGAAAACCCAGTGGCTTCACTGGGCACCGAAGTCATGGGGTGGTCATCCGGGCCCATCGCCACCCCTCCTTGTCACTACATGTTCAAAAAGCATGACACTTTAGGCTCTGGCGGATGCAAAACAGAAGAAGTTACGAAGCAAGGAAAAGGGTCCTGAACTCGCTCACATGAGCTCTGTCGGAGTGTGGCAGTGGCTGCTCACTGTTCTAGGCATGAAGGCGAAGCAAGGTAGACTGCTCAGCTGCAACCAACCCGAAATGAATTTGGTTTCGTCAATATCCCCAATTAGCACAAGGAACCAACAGCCCGTTACATAGGCAAACCTGATTCAAGCCCGAGCTGACCGGAGAAACCTGAAAAACATCGCTTTCCGTCCTGCACTACAAAAAAAAAACGCGCTCCTTCGGTGGGCACCAGAAGCTCAGAACATAGAACGTCCCTTGACAAATCGCGCTTGGAAAAACGGTGGGCCAGGCGGGGGAGATGGTGGAGATGGTTCTCCGAGCAATGTTAATGTGAAATGCAAAACTATGACAATAATATTAGCAAACCAAACTGGCCGCCACACACGTGTTGGGCAACGATAAATTCGTTCATTTTGAGCCAAAAAACTAGAATGAATGCGCAACCCACGGCTGAAGAAGACAATTGCAGCATCAAGAACAAATAAACCGGTTTCATCTTGGTTGATTGTATTCTTCGCTTGTCTCGGTCGGGGCCCTAAATTTAACAACATATTGGACGCATGACATAGGTGGCCACGCACCAATTTTTCTGAATGTGTCCCCGACACCCAGACTAACCCATGTCAAGCACATCTTAGCGTCGATAACATCATGCGCCCTTTGTGACACAAACATGTCGTGTCACATCGCTCACAAGGGCGGCTGCAATGTCCTTTTGAACTGACTGTGCCCCTGTCAAGTCACCGGAGATGCTGCACGTCCTCGGACAGAAACCGACACATCTCCTTGGCACTTGGTATCAAGGCTTCTAACAGCCACCTCTGTGGACGTGCAGTTGAACTAAGTTTGCCCTTCGGGGGGAGTGTGACTTCCCCAACCTTCGCTGCGTTCAATGTCCACCGCACACACTGAGCAACACATAGCGAAGGATTCGTGCTTTGGCAAGACGAGCAACCAAAAGCTTTTGAGTTGCAAACGAGACAAAGGCCTAAAGCCACAACAAGTGAAGTGGCACGTTGGCAAGGCTCTTTGCTTTCCACGGCATATATGTCTCCCTCGTCTACTAAGCACGGTCCCATCATCCAAGAATGCACCAGCGGCATTCGCTAGATTGCCATCTCGAATTCATCGCAGCCAGTACAAGGTCGTCGTTCTCAACCCTGGAATGACCTGGTCTTTCCCTTTGAACATTGCAAAAAAGTACTATATTGTATAACTCAACCAGGTCTGATGGTGCAATAACAGCAGTGAAGAAGCTGGCATCAGAACCCCGTGACAAAGAAGAAAAGTCAACATATCTGGCGTTTGCATTATTCATGCAGGGTCTTTTGACCTGCTCAATTCGCTGGGCGTGCCTGTCCTCTCAGATCCACGACCTCCACAAAGCACTCAGCTCAAACTCTGGACCCCTCCCACTTTTACACACATCTAGCAGCACTGATTGATTGGCACAGAAAAAAAGAAAAACTCCTGCCCAAGGGGATCCTTCAGGCGGATCCTTTTGGTGGACAGTGCCTCCACGACTTGGATGCACGAGTTGGAAGCAATGCACCATTCGGGATTCGAGGATTTCGAGGTACCTCACGAAGCAATGCCTGCAAAATGGACCCAGACTCCATTGCTCGTCGATATCATGGTTTACAGCACTACATTTGCAAGACACGCAAACGTTTTTAGAAAGAAGTTGATCTGGTCGTTGCACTCGTGGCACGGCAGCTGTCAAATCCCCTGCAAATCATTCCGACAAGAAACCTTCAAACTGTTTTCTGAAAACAAACTTTGACAGGTGTCAAAACCAAAAACACTCACCTGTACCAGTGTAAGAATTACGCATGAGAATGTGCCCTTTTGCTTCCTCCGAATTTAATCATGTTCAAATGCAGCTCCATGCCCAGGCACCTTGCTTGCCACGACCTATCATCACCATCCACGTAGCATGGATTTTGAACAGTGATGCTGCACCTGCTGCACTGTGGCAATGCTCCGATGAACACAAAATCCAATTCTGCTGGGGTGGGTAGGTGTGGGCCGCTTTAGTACAACAACTCCCTGGGAAATGTTTTTGTACAACAGAGATGACGAGCTGTGGAAAGCTCAAAAATTTGCTACCCTCAGCTGATGGCTCCCTACCACAGGGTGGTTTTCCTCTCGAACGGTTCCCTACAAGAGTGCACCCCTCAGATCCTGTTGAAAGTGCCGAGAGAAGCGTACGTTGGGTTATGACAGAACCTCCCTTCTCTTCTCAACTATTCCAACGCAGCACCTTTTGTCCAAAACAGATGGACGCCTAAACTGTGGGGGGAAAAACTGGACACGTATTTTTGGCAGCAGTTTCAATTGCTGAAAGCCTGGCTCAACGTTTCAAGTAAACGAAACCAATGGCAACAACTCGTGTCTGCATCACAAGACACATATCAAGAGATGAAATGAATTGAAATGAACATCAACCTCATCAGCACATGCAAGTCCATCAAAACACGTCCGAACACCCAAACCGACCGTTCCTGCAAGGCCAACGGACGGTTTCGAAGGCACGAGGACTAAACCATGCTAAACCTACGACTTCACACTGCACGCCCTGTGGCAAATGGCATCAAATCGCCTACAAACCACGGTCCCAGTAGGATGTGAAGAAGCAACAGCGGAAAGTGAATATGCATCAGAACGCCACCCTGGCCTCACCAAGGCAGGCTGCCCTTGGCCGAAATCATGCGCAAAGCGCTCAGCCTGGTTCAGGCATTTGCCCAGCACGAGAGCTGGGCGTGACACAAAGCAGTCGAAACATTTGCAGTGCAATAGCACCCCACCTTACGCCTGCCTGCGAAGTAGGCGCCTTTGCCAAGACAGCCATCTGCAGGGGTGTCCACCTTGACTCCCACAGTGCCAGGCCCACGCAATCTGTTCAAAGAACTTTGAGGCCACAACTCGGAAGCATCCAGAGCTCCTGAAAAGATCTTCAACAATACGCTCCACCCGATTCACCCCAGCTGAGAGCCAAGCTTGATCTGCAAGGCATTCGTCCTGGAGGTGCCTCACACCAAACACTCAGCTCGCAGACATGGCCTAGCACCCCTGGCACTCCTCCTAGCCAAGCGGCCATGCCAAGCTTCAAAGGTTTGGCCCTTGCCGCCCATGGCAAGCCTGGTAAAATTTCGAGCTTCGCACGATCCAAGACTGTCATGGTGAATCCCAGCATCATAAAGTGATCCGGGGCTTTGCTCAGGTCTCCGCACATCTGGGCCTCGCTTGCTTGGCTGCGATGCTCTTACCTTTGTGTCCAACGAGGAAGGGTCCACCGGAATGCGTCACAAGGTGTTGCTTGTGATGACGCACCAGAAGGATTCCATTATTCAAAGGCACTGTAGGCGTCGGCTTTGCAAACTTCTGGCGGCACGTAAGCCCGCAGAACCTCGCATGCGGCTTGATGTCACATCCTCTTCAATCAACAAACGCAGTGAGGCTCCTAGGAATCAGTAGGCTGTAAGCAAGCAATGAGCTCAAACAAGCGATCGCCAAGGGAAGGGATTCCCGGCACCATTTATCCAAATAAATAAATAAGTATTGATCAATCAACAGGGTAGTAGTTGGTAACGCGCCTGACAGTAAAGAAAAAATGCCGAGAACAGCCAAGTTGCTGACCAGCCTGGCCATTGAAGCTTGGTCTACCACACCCGGCAGCGCACTGGTTGGCCGGAGGGGCTTGCGGAGCATTGTGCACATTTCCTTCAGCTGCAAGGGACTCTTGTTACTCTCTCTCTCTCTCTATTCATATACATAGTTAGACAGTGCGAGCTACAGTGGACATTTAGTTTTGGAATTGGCTGCCATAGTCATACCTATTAAATGTCTCTCTGGAGACAGAAAACCGTGAGACTTCCACGAACAAGCAAGGCTGGTCTTGTCAACCCAGCCATCTCCAGGACAGGGCATCATGCTCCTGTGGCAAGAAACAATTGCAACGCTTCACCTTGATCCAAAGTCGCTCTGGCAAGGAACACCACCATGGCAGGACATGCAGCAGAAGTCGCCCTGCGACTCAACCGGAAGTTATGTTATGATGTGTCTTCTGCCAACATTTCAAGCTTGAAGTATGTGTTCGGCATTCCAGTGTCTATTTTGATATTGAAACCTTGCCTGTAGGCCACTGAAAGATGATGTGCAGGGACAATCAGGATTGGCACACCTTGCAGAGCTTCAAGTACAGGACTCTTTGGCTTCAGAGCCGTGCTACCAATAACCAAAGAGCTGCACTTTAAACAACAAACCGGAACAAAATCCGAATTGTTGTTTTTGTTGCCTCTTTGCCTCCTTGTCTGCTCCACTCTACTCGCTACTCTACTTGTCTTCCAAATCAGCCACAACCGAAGCTTCGAATCATCGAGCCTTGAGAATGTTCCACCGGAGGAACTTCCACTCCCGGCAGCTTGGCTCGGCGCTGAGCTTGATGGAATCAGATGGGCTGCAGTGGTGCAGGGCTGTCCTGCCGCGCAAGTCTTGCAACCTGAGAAGGGCCCTTGCCAGCACCAAGCACAAAAAAGTCAAAGACAAGCCAACGTCGACGTCTCTGCATAAGAATAAAGAATGATGCATATGTCTTGTAGAGAGAGAGAGACGGACAAACAGAAAGATTATGAATCTATGAACATGCATTGACACAGGTCCGCATAGAGCTCCACACCATTAGCTGAACTGTAAAGCACATGTTGCACCCTGCCAAAAACATACAGTAGAAGCATCCCAAACATGTTTGCCTGGAAGTCAACGGAGTTAGGCCCTTGAAAATCCATCCTACTTGTGTAGCAGGCACAGTTCTTTAGGACAGAAACTCACCAGGAACCTGTCCCACAAGAGTGTCCCACAAGAGTGTCCCACAAGAGCGTCCCACAAGAGTGTCCTACAAGTGTGTCCTACAAGAGTGTCCCACAAGAGTGTCCCACAAGAGTGTCCTATAAGAGTGTCCCACAAGAGTGTCCTACAAGAGTGTCCCACAAGAGTTTCCTACAAGAGTGTCCAACAAGAGTGTCCCACAAGAGTGTCCCACAAGAGTTTCCTACAAGAGTGTCACACCAGAGTGTCCCAAAAGAGTGTCCCACAAAATTGTCCCACAAGAGTGTCCTACAAGAATGTCCTACAAGAGTGTCCCACAAGAGTGCCCCACAAGAGTGTCCTGCAAGAGTGTCTCACAAGAGTGTCCCACAAGAATGTCCGACAAGAGTGTCCCATAAGAGTGACCCACAAGAGTGTCCTATAAGAGTGTCCCACAAGAATGTCCGGCAAGAGTGTCCTACAAGAGTGTCCCATGTCCCACAAGAGTTTCCTACAAGACTGTCACAAGAGTGTCCCACAAGAGTTTCCTACAAGAGTATCCCACAAGAGTGTCCTACAAGAGTGTCCCACAAAAGTTTCCTACAAGAGTGTCACACAAGAGTGTCCCACAAGAGTGTCCTACAAGAGTATCTCACAAGAGTATCCCACAAGAGTGTCCCACAAGAGTGTCCTACAAGAGTGTCCCACAAGAGTGTCCCACAAGAGTATCCCACAAGAGTTTCCTACAAGAGTGTCCCACAAGTGCCACAAGGAGTGTCCTACAAGAGTGTCGTGTAAGAGTGACCCACAAGAGTGTCCTACAAGAGTGTCTCACAAGAGAGTGTCCCATAAGAGTGCCCGACAAGAGTGTCCTACGAGAGTGTCCTACAAGAGTGTCGTGTAAGAGTGACCCACAAGAGTGTCCTACAAGAGTGTCTCACAAGAGAGTGTCCCATAAGAGTGCCCGACAAGAGTGTCCTACAAGAGTGTCCCACGAGAGTGTCCTACAAGAGTGCCTTTCAGGAGTGTCCTACAAGAGTGTCCTGTAAGAGTGTTCCACAAGAGTGTCCTACAAGAGTGACCCACAAGAGTATCCTACAAGAGTGTCCCAGAAGAGTGTCCCACAAGAGTGTCCCACAAGAGTGTCATTTGGACATATGTAGCTTTTCGAACGTGTTTGCATTCGGGTTCGTGGGCTCCATCTTGTTTCTTTGGCTTGAGCATCCTCCAACTGCTGCTGTAGCTCTTGATACACCCGTTCACAAAACATAGAGTCAGAAGAGCATTGCGATGCTCCTTTGCCAGATGGATCTTCTTCAGGAGATACCAGAATAACAGCATTATCTTGAGGAGGTTCAGATCCTCTGGCAATTCTTGTATCAAACTTCGGGGATCGTTGTGAGTTATCAGTGGTTGTAGGACGATCAAACTTGGCATCTTTGCCTGCAGTATGTAGGTCATTGCTTTCGTCAACCTGCATTGCCTTATTGGCTTCACCAGACAGGTCTGCCATATTCTTAGGTGAGATGCTATCTTCTTGAGATATAGTGCCTGTTACATCAAGCTCGGTGGGCAATGGGCTAACTGATCAGCAACCTCAACAGTGAAAGGAAAATCTTTCTTGGCATTCTGGTCAGTCTTAAGGATGTTGCTAGTTGCTTTTGTAACAAACTTGGCAGTAGTAGACTGTGAAACATGACTTTTGGAGGCTTTCTGATTGTTGTGCCAAATGGACAAAATGCGGCCAAAGGGTGCATTACCAAAGATGTCATGCACCTCAACCTGTCCAGGCAAGAAGAGGAGAAGATCAGAGCGAACGTAGACACTGAGCTCTAGTGCATTGCTAACACATCGCGAGACTTTGCCCCTTTCAAATCGAGGTTGCAAGACTTGCAGCTTCTGACCTTTCTCAATTCGGCAGTGAACAATACATTCATGGTCAGGCAAGGCTGTAATGACTTCTTTATCATACTGACAGGGAGGCGGTTTGGACATAGTACATTCGAGAAAAATCGTATGATGGTCAAGAAGATGCTTTTGTCTCATCAAGATGTCAAAAACTTGAGAGACTTCTTGCATGGAAAGCTCGGCTTCTATGAGGCAAATCGGTACGATTTCATCAAGCATGTCTACAGCAATATCTCGATTGCCAATTTCAAAACTGAAGACTTGTAGTTGGCCAAACCTCCTGCGTGACATACTATTGCCTGGCAGAGGAAAAAATCCACTGAGTCGGGCACCCTGACATAAGCCTTTGTTGTGTGCACCTACATGGTGATCTGTTTTGGTTTCCTTGACATAGATGTTGGAAGTTCGTTCTGTGGTATAAACATCCGGCTGCTTATAATGTACTATTCTTTTTCGAGCTTTATGGTCGATAAAGATGCCAGGTATTTGCGGCAGCACATTAGGTGCTGCAATAAAAGCAATAACTTTCTGATGACCTTTGTCTTGTACATGCACTATAGCAAGCCGTATCTGTATTGCACCTAAGACATTTTGTAGCTCTTTGCAAAAGCCAGGATCAACAAGGCCATCACTCATAATAAACGATCCATCATCTTCAATTTGAAAGGCCTCATGGCGATCGCTTCCTGCAGTGTTAAAGTCAACTGTCCAATAGTTGTCACTAGCACCGACAACAAAGGAACATTGCAGGCTGCCTTCTTCCTTGCCAAAAGGAATCTTGATCTGTTCTTGGAAAATCCTCAATCGGAAGTTTTCGAGTTCAATTCCTTCTGCATAGATAACGAGAAGCAGTCTTTTCTGAATGTAATATGGAATGTCCATGTCAATGAGAATGGCTTGTAGTCGCCATCTTTCTTCTTGCGTGCATGACCTGATATCGAAAAAGGTGACAGCATAGTAGTTGTAGAAAGTGGGGGCGTCACCAAACCGCATGTTCCAAAAAAAGGGGGGTTACTCTTTGGAGGTCTTGCTGGGCAAGGGTAGTGATTTCTTGGCTCAGACAGGCATAAATGGACTTAAGGGAATCAGCCACTCTGTGAGCTTCGGTCTCAGCAATGCCAAAGGTGATGCAACATCTATCTGTAGCTCTAAGTTTAGTATGCAGGGGAGGATCTTGCGAATACACTCGAAATCGAAAGACTCCCGGCACTGCAGTAATGGTATCCTGAATCTGTGGCGTGAGAAATTTGCTGGAACAAAGCCATGTTTCAGTATATTCCAAACTTGGCGAATAAACTTCAAAACTGTTTACATTGCGAGCTTCGCTAAGTGCAATGAAGTATGTCGATTTCGTAAAGATACGCGAGCGCCCAACTTGTGCAAATTCAAAACTTCTGTACTTGCTGATTTGCTGGATATGGGCTCGATGCCGCCTTAGAGACGTGCAGACTCCAATGGCAAGATCAACACACGTGGCATTTAAAGAGCATTCATGAAAGAGAAGGACGTGCCGAAGTTGACTGTTTGAATGATAGAGCTGCAAAATGTTATCTTGTAGACGACTCTGTATTCCATAAATAATGATATCAATCGGGTGTTTTCCAGAGACAGCCGCATAGATATCCTTGAACTCATCTTCACCAACTACAAAGCTAAGGAAGGCCCACGAAGCTGCGCAAAAACTCCTTTTGCTTCAAAAGAGTCAAGAATATCATCATAGACGAACTGAGAAATGGTACAAAAGACTTCCTTGGATGACATATTGACACGAATTCACAAAGAAGCAAGAGAGGAGACAAAAAAAGGGAAGGTAATGTCTAAGGACACCCCCTTCAAAGGTAGAAAAGCAAATCGGCCAAGATATCTCAATCAAACAATCGAACGAAAAGCTCTGTTAAGCTAGCAAGGCCAAACAAAATTCTCAAAAGATGTCTAAGGACACCCTTTGAGGAGGCTTGCGCGAAGCAGAGGACAAATCTGCAAATATCAAATGATGTCTAAGGACACCACTTGAAGATGTACGATGTCTAAGGACAACGCACTGCAGTGAGGAGTGAAAGAATGCACAGAGCCTAAGAGCAAACTGAGCATCCCGGCTTTTGGTGGCATTACCGCTGCTCCTCGGGCTAGGTCCCTTGTCCGCTGGGGTCTCCCTGGCAGGACTGTGTCTCGGCGCTGTTTGATCGTCGAGTGGTGGGTCAGCTATCCCATCCGTAAGTTTGTGCCACAGCGGAACTTCAACACGAAAGCTCGTCTGATAAAAGGATGCAAAAGAAAATCTGTCCAAAGCTCGCGTCAAGCATCCCTTCTTCACAGCTGTCGCCAGGGTTGGGGTTTCCGGGATGGGGGGTATTGCTCACGCGAGCATCTTTCTTCGAAGACCCCCACGATGACATAAGGGTTGTTAGCAGCGTTATCCACATTGTGCCTGTATCTCTCTGCAGCAGTGAGCCTTCTTCAAGCTTTAGCGCCTTACACTGCGCAATGACCTTGTGCGCAATTTGAACAGGAAAATACACATGCACATGGTCCATGGAGAGCTCAGGTTTGCCAAGGTGAAGGTCTCGAGCAAAAGACATGACGACTGTTTGCATCAGCCAGTTGGGCGGCCATGGCACCACAGATGGCGTCGAAGTCTTCTGTGGTGTGCTTAATCACCTCTCGGGGCAAGTGTTGAAACTCCACTCTGGCTCGCAACGCTTGGAAGCTTGCTGAAGAGGAGTCTTTTTTTTCCCCGAGTACGGACGCCGTGTGGGCATGG